AGGATGTAGCTGAAGACCTTCTTCCTCTAAGTAGCCTCACTGCCTGCTGAGGCCCATCCATGCCCATGGCTTCCCCACTTTCCAGATCAGACAGGAAGCCCTGCCCCTCCCCAGCCTCTCCCCTAGCACCAGCACCTTCTACAGAGTCACTCTAAAAGAATCCAGCTATCTTACACTTTCTTCTTAGAACCACGTCCTAGTCTGGCAAGCTAAAAAAAAAAGATCTTAGAATCAAAAATCATGGATGATATTATACATTTTTAAAAAATCTTCCAACAGCATCTTTTCTGAAGCCTGTCTGCAAATATTTATTTTAACAAAGTGAAAAAAAAAATCTCTGTGCCCCAAGGTACCATCATCATACCATTTTATCTGATTAATTCAAGTAGTAGACAATATTGCAATATGTTAGTTCTTAAGGTCTGTCAGCATTTATAAGGTCCACATTTTTAATGTTTGTTTCCTAGATAAAACTTAAAATTAACTCAGATTCCTTTCCCAGGTAAGAGCGGCTGTTACACAGTAAGTGATATGCATTTGATACACATTGGCGGTCCTTTTCTCAAACGTAAAGGTAATAAACTTACCAAAGCTAGCTCATGGAGCCTGAGAATGCAGTTAAACACAGTAATCATTGTAGACCTGGCAAGAACTAGACAGGCCTTGGGAACTCCAAAGGAACAATTACAGTCCCTTGTTACAATGTTGTACAATGTTAAAAGGGAGAAGGAGTTACTGTTTCTTACCAGCTAACTTCAATACCAGCTACAAAAGCTCACAGGAGCATGGCAGAGTTGGGCAGACTCCAGTTCTTTCATTTTAAAGGAGTACTTGTTAGGTTTTAAAAACCAGAAAGCATAAATTTAAAATCCAAAAAAGACATTCCAAAATCTAATCTCATCCTCACCAAAGTATACTGGAGGTAAAGGGGTTTCAGAGGAGGCTAGCAAACCAAGTTCAGCTTTACCATTGGGCAGAAACCCACAGGTACCCCTTTCAATTGAAAGGGGGCTTATTAATATTGATTCTGAAATGTTGGCATTAATAAACTAAGACAGGGATTGTCTTAGTTTATTAAGACATCAGTCCCTCACACGTGACATCTGTTGGAATAGAAATGTACTTTGGTCTGACCTGTACATACGGGTATGTTATTGTGGAAATTCTCATGAAAGCATGACTTTAAAGGCACAACCAACCTGCCCCATACCCCAGCCCCTCACCCTTATGTGTCTGAATTCTTTTTTTTTGTTTGTTTGTTTTTGCATGGTACTGGGTACTGGGATTTGAACTCAGGCCCTTGTACTTCCTGGGCAAGTGCTATTTCACATCCGCAGCCCATCCTGCTTTTTAATTTATTTTTCAGATATAGTCTCTCACTTTTTGCCTTGGGTCAGCCTAAGACAAGTGATCCCTCCTACCTATATCTCTCCTGTGGCTGAGATTACAGGCATGCATCACCATGCCTTGCCTAAATCTGAATTCTACTTTTTGTCTTTTGGCAGCACTGGGATTTGAACTCAAGATCTCATGCTTGCAAGAGAAGTACTCTACCACTTGAACCATGTCCCAAGCCCCTGAACTCTTCACTACAGCCCACATTGTGGCCCTGAGTGCCCACCAAGGCAGCACTTGGCCAGCATGGAAAACTGCCTCCTGTGGCTGACCTCCCTTGAGAGGAGACAGGTTTCAGCTGAACTAAGAAGGTGGCAATAAGAGTATGAATAAAAGGCATAATGAAATAGAAAGCTTACTAATTCTCAGAAAGGTTTTAAAAAGCAGGTTCTGCCATGACTAATCAAGTGCTGACCATAAAATGAATTTGACTTTCAACAAAAAAAAGGCCAGATGAGATGGTGCATGCCTGTAATCTCAGCACTCAGGAGGCAGAGGCAGGAGGATCTTGAGATCAAGGATGAGGACAATCTGGGTTATATAGCAAGACTTTATTTTGTTTCATTTTTTTGTTTGTTTGCTGTTTTTTAAAAAGCATTCTCTTTAGTAAGCATAAAATAAACCTTTCAAAAAGTATTTCATAATGTTCTACTTTTTTACTTTGGTATCAGAAGGCTTCAAAGAATGTTAATATTCGTTACTCCTACTGGTACATAGATAAAAAACAAAACAAACAAACACAAAACTCATGATCCTATAAATAATTATCAAATAGCCCATTCCTAAGCAAGCAGTGTGCATACTCCATGTGCAGTAGGGAAGTTCTGTGTACCTACTAACAGATGTCACTGTTAATTCAGAATGGAGAAAAAAATGGGTGCAGTGCCTAGAGCCTGTAATTCTAGCTTCTTGGCAGACAGAGATCAGGAGGATTATGGTTTGAGGTCAGCCTGGGCAAATACTTCCCAAGACCAGATGGCATTCTGTCATCCCAGATACACGTGGAGGGGGTGAGGGTTGAGGGGGTGGAGAGAAGCACAAATTGGAGTCAGGTCCAGTCTGCTCAGGCATAAGGGGAAACCCTATCTCAAGAATTACCAATGCAAAAAGGGGCCCATGGAGTGACTCAAGTTATGGAGCACCTGCCTAGCAAGCACATGGGGCCTCCACACAGTCACCAGCCAGCATATTTCACTTTAAAACTGGTCTGTTTGTATTGTAATTGCTACCCTAAGCCCCTGTGCTTCTTGATTTAAAGAACTTATTTCCCTTATTTTGCTCCCACAAACACTTTTTTTGGGGGGTGGGGGGTGGTCCTGGTGTTTGAACTCAGGGCCCCACACTTGCTAGGCAAGCACTCTACCAATTGAGCCACACTTCCAGCCCACATAACCACTTCTTGCTGAGGGAGAAGCAGGGAGAGGAACGTGAGTAGTGTTAAAATCCTTTCCCAGGTCCCAGTATGTAAGGCAGGGGAGAACGTCAAAGCTTTACAAGTCCTCATCCTTGTTTTGGGTCCTAAACTCAAATAGTGTCCCAGAGTGGACAAAGCTGGAGTGAGGACAAGGGCCATGAAGAAGGGGCAGGATGAAGGGAAAGAAACAGGTGTCATTATAAATAAGCCCTCTCTACACATGGCTTCCTGTGTCAGTCTGACTCAGAGTAATGCAATTATTTAAGGTATTTTGAAAAACATCCTTATTTCAAAATAAGGAAGCTGGGGCTTTAGGAAAGATACTGGTGTACTTAGAGGGTCAAGTTACAATGCCTGGGCACCATGTCTGCTAGGGCAGAGATTTCAACACTGTCAGCTTCCTGGGAGATTGCTCAGCCCAGTCCTCCTATTTGATTTTTACCTTACAGTTAACTATTAGGGAAAAAACTGCTGAGGGCTCATTTAATGCCTTTATCATTAGACTTCAAATCTATGCAGTGGATTGACTGGGGAAGAAGGTCTTCTTCAGCCCTCTCTAGAAGTAGTTTGGAATCATTATTGACTCTCCTGAGAGCCCAGGCCTGTATCAACATGGGCGGCTCACAGTCCTGCATTGGTCTTCTCTCCCATGCTAAGAAAAGCCTGAAGAACATGGACTCCAGCAAACCAAAGAAACAAGGGGACTGCCTCCAGTCATGCCATGTGAAGTCATTACAGGAGTGGAGCCATGTGGTTTAAGAGTGGAGAAAGCAGCCTGAACTACTTCCCCATTCTTTGGCTGAATGACTGACCCACAGTATGCTTGGCAAAGGGACAGGAAATTAAGCAGATTGGCATCGGGGTATCAATAACGTGAGCCCTCCAAGTGTTGGAGAAGAGAGAAGCCAGAACCATACCACGCGCACGGGTGCCTCTGCCTCCCTGTCCTGGGGCACGCACACATCTGCAGTGATAGTTAGAAGTTGCCTTCAGAGCTAGGAGTCTTTGATTACTCTCCAGATTCACACTTGCCTCTTGTTCCTCCCTTCCTGCAAGTTCTGTGATGTCCTGCACATGCTCCCCCAACAAATGGAGAGACCCTTCTTTTGTTCAAGGACTCCACCACCATCCCACTTTTGCTTTGAACAATGCTGGTCCAACTCAAACATGCTCCTTATTTTCACATCAGTAGCTCAAAACACCAATTCTGTGTTTAAATGAGTTTAAAAACTTCATCACCAACAGGTTGACATAAATGTAGATTCAGTAGACAGGAAGCATCCATTTCTCTATCTGAATGTCAGATATAGGCCAGTTAGCCTCCTTCAAAGACTGCATCAGATTTCCCCAACCTCCTCTCTTTTACTGGATATGAATGAAGCACTAAGAAAACCAAGGTGCTAGTCAGGAAATCCAAGTGAACCTTAACTCCTGGGCCAGTTCTTTGTTAGCTATCACAAACTTTTGTTAAAAGACATTTTTATATAATAAAAAATAGTTTTGAATTAAATCTCTCCCGAGAGGAAATAGGCAGCTCTATGTTGGGCACTCTGGAAGCATCTACTCACCAGATTTGAGGAGTGAGCTCTCTTTGTCAAAAGTTTTGTGACTGAAACATGGTAGCTCTTTCTGTGAAAATCACTGACTCCACCAGTGAAAGGAAAGCAGGGTAGAAATTGGCAACCTTGCCTCCATCTTGCATCTGTCCCCTTCACTCTGAGTTTCTCTCCTATAATCACTTTGGGTTCCAGGAAGGACAGGACTAATTCCCTTTACAAGGGAAACTGTCCCCCATCCTCCCAAAAAAAGAGAGGAGCAGCAGAGCCTCCACCCACCAGGCAGCAGTGGCTCTTATTGTAACAAGGCCCCAGCTGACCAAGCCTGAGATCATGAGCCCAGGACACCTGTGACCACCACGTCTGACTGCTGGGACACATCTGTGACCTGGACTGCTTGACAACTGTGCCTCCAGCTCTCCCTCTATTTAAACCTAAAGTACAGGGAAGGTGGGCTGAAAAACTATTTTGCCTCTTCCCACAGCTTGTCTCCACCCGTCACCATCTCTCCCCTCCTCAGGTCAGGCTGCGTGGCCAGACCTGACGTGTGGAACCCCTGAAACTCTGGTTACAGGTAGTTTTGGACCATCCCAAGACCGGGTCAGTGCAGAAATCGGACCCTGGGTCATGCTCACCTGTCCTCGAAGCACACAGTGCACTTCCAGGCGCGGGTGGTCCTCAGGAACACGCGGCACTCGGAGCACACGCGGTGGCTGCAGCCCCGGCACACGGCCCCGCGGTTCAGCAGCAGCCCCAGCTCCCGCTGGCAGCGCGCGCAGCACTGCTTGTAATCCCGGCTCGAGCTCTTCGCCCCTCTCCACCGGAGATGCTGCAGGTGCGTTTTCAGTTTCCTGCGGCCCATGGAGGTAAATAAGATATGACTGGTTAAAACACCAGATGCCAGACTACAGGCAAGAGCCTCAACAGAACCATCCTGGCAAGGGACACCCCACCCCATCTCTCAGGGCCGAGGCAGAAACATGGTTTTGGTTTTTTTGGCGGCACTGGAGTTTAAACTCGGGGTCTCATGCCTGCTAGGCAGGCGCTCTTACTGCTTGAGTCACTCTGCCTTCCAGGAATTTTTTATGAGATTCCCAACTCTTCCCAGGTCCCACACCTCACAACAATGCTGTTGATTGCTCTTCCAGAGCATCTCCTGAATCTGTCCACTTTTCTCTCTATATTAAAATATTAATATTCCACTTATTAAAGCCACACATTCATAAACTCAGTTTTTCCTTAATCTTTTGACCTCAAATCTTACCCTATTTTTACACTTTCATCACCTTTAAAAGTATTTAATAACACCAGGCACCAGTAGCTCACATCTGTAAACCTACCTACTTGGGAGGCTGAGATTGGGAGGATTACAGTTTGAGGTCATCTGGGAAAAACAGTTCGCAAGACCACATCTCCAAAATAACCAGACCAAAATGGACATGGCTTAAGCGGTAGAGTGTCTGCTTTGCAAGCACAAAGCCCTAAGGCAAACCCCAGCCCTACGCCCCCAAAAGAGTAATTAACTAAATTTCCTTACACTTAATGCTGCATTTATAAATTCACTATATTTTATATGATAAATACAAAATTAATATTTTAAATACTTCAAATTTTTTTGTTATTGAAACTGGATCTCACTATGTAGCTCAAAGAAAATTCTGGTTTTCCTCAGTGTATTATAGTTTCTAATGGAAGAAACACACTTAAGACTTTTGAAATAAAAAGGGAGGATGGAAAAAAATTGTACCTTCAAATTAACCATAAAATTTCCCTCATTTCTCAAGCATTTGGTTGTCCAAACTTTTACATCTGTAGTATTTTTATTGACAGACTGTGAAAGAGTTCTACTCTCAGAAAACAAAACCAAAACCATATTCCATTTGCTTGCTTTTTGGTGCTGATTGTATCCAGGGCCTGTCCCATTTACGCATGCTCCGCACAACTGAGCTACATCCGCGACCCATTTCCTTCTTTCCAACCCTCCTGTCCCCGACAAACACAGATTTTCCAGTGGGTCTGGACAGCTAACATTGGATATTTTCCATACTCCTACCAAGTAGTTCCAACAGCTTCAGCAGCCAGGAAAGCGCTGTTGACAAAGTGCTTTGGGAACAGGCTGAGCAGGTTTCATGTTTTACTTTCTGCTCCCTTTCCTCAAAGCCTACCTGAAAGCAAAAGTGAGCAAAGGAAGAAGATCATAATGGATTGCACCAGATTTGCCCTTTCTAAGCCACCTTCTTTGTGCCTTGAGGTACCACCAAGAGTAAGAGAGGAAAACTGAATCCGAGGTCTTTCCCTAGGGAACTACCAGAAGTCTGAAAGTGCCCCCCTTGAACTATTCCACATGTAAGCAAGTGGACTAGCACACAAATACAGAGGTGCCATTAGAAATGAACAAGGGCGACCTCCCTTCTTCCCTGCCTTCTTCTTAGTATGATAGCAAAAATAATCTCCACCCGCAGGGTCATTAGGACGCTCCTCGGTCAGAGGCCCAGCAGCGAGCAGTGGTAACAAGTGAGCAAGCAAGTAGCAAAGAAACCAAGGAGACTCCAGGCAGAAAAATCCAACCCCCCAACCCCAAGAAGTGCACCCCTGGGAGGCCAGCTTACCTTATCCTTTCCTCCTCTATGCTCTGGACAGCCCGGTCGCGGTACAGGACCTGGAGAATGATCTCGCGTTCTAACTCCTTAAGGGACTCCAGCTCCATTCCGTGAGCCATCTCCTCTCCCTTTTCCTCCACCTACGTTGGAAGAGTTTCACTGCCTGCATACAACTGCAACCCTGTGTTCTTGGAAGAGCCCCTCTCCAATTTCACTGGTGACTGGGTTTTGCTTGTGGCTCTTTTTTCCTTTTTAACTGTGTCATACTCCTCTGGAGAAGAAAGTTCCACAAAGCTGATCCTCTGTGGGACTCACTGCAACCTAGGGAGCTTTTTCACTGGGTTTTGCCACAGCCTCTGACATCCGCCTGAGATGAGCATATCTTTTTCTGAGGTTTTGCCAGAGATTGTTATAAATAATGCATGGCTTCAAGCAGATAATTTCTGAGAAGCAGAAATAATCTCCAATCTGAGGAAATTTACAGTGACAGGATATTGATGACTTGGAGAACTTAACCTTCCTCTGGAAATGTTGCCAGGTCAGTAAAACTGCAATTAAAAGCCCAGCCTGTAATACCTGGAGAAGAGAAAAAAGCACAGCATCAGTTTTTTTCTGGTGTTTTCCTGGTGTGACTTCTCTGCAGCATGACTTCAATAAAAACAAAATGTTCTATACAGCATCCTCTACTGTGGTGATGATGTAAAATTTTAAAACTGATTAAATAAGACTTCTTATATTTAAAACTTCCAAACTGGGATTTTGCTAATATGATATGAATGCTAGATCTTCAATGGTCAGAGGAATGTTGAGTGGACAGTCATGTCACTTAATGATGGGATAAGTTCTAAGAAATGCATCATTAGCTGATTTCCTGCCATGCAAACATCACAAAGTTCACCAACCTATTTACACAAACCTAGAGGGTCTAGCCTGCTCATACCTATAGATAGCTATACGGGACAGCCTACTGCTCATAGGGTTGTGATGAGAAAAACAAAATGAGATTACATCAAGCACTAGAGAATATGGTTCAGTCACGAGTCACAGTTAAGGACATAGATGTGGCTGCTGTGGCCTAACACAGCGGACTGTTTCTTTTTCAAGAAACAGAAGATGAAACTCTAAAATTAACAGTAAAAGGATAGTAAATGCATAAACCAGCAACATTGTCACTTATTGTCATTATTGAGTATGATGTACTAAGTTGTCTGTGCTACACGTTTACACAACTGGCAGCACAGTAGGTGTGTTTACACCAGCCTCACCACAAACAAGAATAACAAGGCCCCTTGGTGCTTACCACAGACTGTGTTCATACACTGATCTACAGAGAGAGGAGGCAAGGAAAACCTACCCATGTAAACCTCAGCCCAGGCCCTGTGCCTGCTCCGTATTGTGAATGGGGAAGAGAAAGAGATGATAAAAAATAAATAAATGAAAGGGGGGGAGGGAAGGAAGGAAGGAAGGAAGATAGATAGGGAGGGGATGGATGGAGGGAGGAAGGGAAGGAAGGAAGGGATGGGATGGAGGGAGGAAGGAAGGAAGAAAGGGAGGGAGAGATGAAGGGAAAAAGGGAGGGAGGGAGGAAAAGAAAGAAAGGAAGAAAGAAAAAAGAAAGAAAGACAGCCCTGTTACAGTTGTATGGGACCGTTGTACCTAAATGTGTCTGTTGTTCTCTTAAGCATCATTGTGTGGCACGTGACTGTATATCATCATCCTAATTGAAAATGTTAGAGAAGCGATGCTCTCGATTGTTGGCAGTTCTTTTCACAAGTAATGTCAAATCAAAAAAAAAAATACTGATTGATTAGGAAATTATGAAGTGGCATCACCACAACCTCAATCTATCAATTATTTATGGCCTTTGATTGTGTTCATGAGCTCCCTTGTACATTAGGCCTTGCTTCTGTTTAGTGCCAGTTGAAAGGTTTTGCACACATTCTTCTATCAAGAAAATGTAGTTGATCTAGTCAGTAGTTTTCTACAATGCTGTTTTTGTTATCAGACCTGTGTAAATCCCTTAGTAACAAGATGTCCTTCCAATATGTTAGAAGCCACACTCTGTTGGGCTTGAACAGAAATCCACATGAGATTAATTTATGAATGAGATGTTAATACACCCAAACGGTATCATTCTCTTTAAGAAAAGGTTCTTAATTTTTCTTAATCTTTGGTAGTCTGGTGAGCCTATGTAATTAAATGCAGAAAATAAAATATATTGGGTTACAAAGGAAATTGATTCTACTGAAATATTTTAAAAATTATAATAATGAATTACATGTGTTCATTGATGCATGAAATAATAAGATGTAGGAGTGATCTAGTGACTTCTACAATTTCAAAGTGGTGATTGGTGTAAACAATATTTTGAGATATCTATAACATATATAATATGAAAATATCTGTGATTTCTACTACAGATAAAATTATAGGGCCAAATGATTCTACCATGGCTTTCTGCCTATCTTCATAATTTAAGGAAATGTTACATTTTAGTTCAAGGGATAATGAAAATAAAGATGTAATATTCCCCCATATAAGTTCATGGGCTTGAACTATGGACCACTGGCTTAAAAGATTCCACATAACCAGAAAATACAGGGAGTTCAAAAAACTAATCTCCCAAAGAATCAACAATCCAAGAAATCAATGGGCAAATGAACTGAATAGACAATTCTCAAAAGAAGTATAAATGGCTGATAAATGCATGAAGAAATGCTCAACATCCCTGGCCATAAAGAAAATGCAAATCAAAAACATATTAAGATTTCACCTCACTCCTATTAGAATGCTATCTATCATCAAGAAAAAAACAACAAATGCTTGGGATTGGGGTATGCCTCAAGAGGTAGAACATGTGCCTAACAAGCACAGGCCCTGGGTTCAATCCCTAGCACTGCCCCCACCCCAAATAAAATGCTGACAAGGATGCAAAGGAGGAGAGGAAACATGGGGAGAGGAGGAACCCTTATATACTGTTGGTGGGAATGTAAATTAATGTAACCACTATGGACAGTAGTATGGGGGTTTCTCAAAAAACTAAAAATAGAAGTACCATATGATCCAGAAATTCCACTCCTGGCATATACCTGAAGGAATGTAGGTCAGGATATAATAGGGCCACTTGCACACCCCTGTTTATTGCAGAACTAAAAGCCAAGCTATAGAAATAGCCCGGATGTCCTACAACTGATGAATGGATTAAGGAAATGTGGTATATATATACACGATATTATTCAGCCATAAAGAAGAATGAAATTATATTTTCAGGTAAATGGATGAAACTGGAGAACATCAGGGTAAGCAAAGTAAGCCAGATTCAGAAGAACAAAAGTTGCTTGTTTTCCCTCATCTGTGGAAGTGAGACCTATAAGATAAATGTGTATATAAATATGATCACATACACTCACACATATGTAACATGTTTGCAGTAGTGGAACTGTTCAAGGGGACTAGGGGGAGCAGGACAGAAGAAGAAAATGATAGAGTGTGGGGAGCAGAGTAGGAGAAGCCTATGAGGACATAAGCACAGTTGTACTCAATATTCTGCAGGCTGAGTTTGGCACAGCCCCAGCCACAGAAGAGAGCAAGAAGGCACAATGCAGCTCAGCTGCTTTTCCTAAGTTGTTATGTTCAGAGAAGCAGGAACACAGGTTCCTCTTGTTACAATGTCACACCCCTCCCTGGAGAACTGTTGCTCATCTTCCTTGTTTACCATTGATTATAAAAGACTCGCAGAAGGAGGACGTGAGGCTTTTGGATGAAGGGAGGCTTTTGGATGGGGGAGGTTTTTTGCTGGGGAGGGGGTTTTGGCTGAAGGGAAATTGCTGGAGGGAGGATTGCTGAAGGGGGAAATGAATTGCTGAAGGGGAATTGCTAAAGAGGGGTTGATAGAATTCGAGACTTTAAGAAAGCTGAAGAGAGAACGTGGAACAGTGCGAGTCTAAGGAAAGAGACTTTAAAGAATAGAAAAGAAGCAAGGTTTTAAAGAATTGTAAAGGACTAAGGCCTTAAAGAATAAAGATAGAGAAAAGAAGCAGAGTAAACGAAGAAAAGAGTAAAGAGAAAAGAAGCAATAAGGCTGCTGTCGTCTCCATCCGAGCGCCCAGCACACCTGGCCCCACCTTTCTGTCTGTCTATCCTGTGTCCTTTCTGCATCTCTCATCACCCCCCAGTTAGCTCCAGTTAGGTTCAGTAGTAACAAGAGAGCAAGAAAAAGCTTGCTCCAATAGAGAATGAATAATATTGAAATACATTGCATCTGTGTATGAAGATGACACAATGAAAACACTGAAAGCTGTTGAATAATGGGGGAAGCTTGAAGGGTAGAGAGAGTAAAAGGGGTTGATCTGATTAAAGTACAATATATACACATGTGAAACACAATGGTAAACTGCTTCTGAACAATTAATAACATGCTTAAAATAATGAAGGACAGGATGTAAAACACGTCCTATTCTCAAATGTATACCAAAGGGAGTGGGGAGGGTGGATGACAGGGTAAAGGAAGGTGAATATGGCTGATGTACTTTGCATACTTGTATGAAAATAGAATAATGAAACCTGTTGAAATTGTTCTAAGAAGGGGGGAGGGGAGAGAGAGAGAATGATGGTGGGATGAACCTAACCAAGGTACATTGAAAGCATATATAGACATGCCACAGTGAACCCCCCCATACACTAATATGTGCTAATAAAACTGTTTTAAAAAGAGATTCCATCATTGTGGTTTCTCTATTGTTAGGTAAAGTTGAAATATTCTGCTCACCCGAATCGCAGAGGTTTTGTGACTAAGAAAACCCAGAGTGCTGAAAGGAAAGACTTGGCCTCTGGTCTACAGGAAAATACTTAAGTACCTGCTCTCCAAAGGCCTCCTGACCAAACAGTGAGAAACCACAGAGCAACAGAGACTCTGGACTCTGACCCAGCTGCATGGCATCTCTCTGTGCCACCAGGGGCAAAGCCTCATGCCCTCTTAGTTCAGGGTCCAGATGAGTAGGAGAACTAGTGCATCTTAGTCCCCCAAGGCTGAGTCTCTGGGAAAGAGGAAAGCAAGAGAAAACGTGTGACTAAGTGCCAACTACTCTGGAAGTTGTTAGCCATCATGTCACCCATGTTCCAAGCTCCATCTTCAAAACTTGCCCCTCAGCTCTCCTTGCTGTTTTCTTACTTCTTCTCTGCTGAATGTGCTTCTGGGTTGAGAGCTGCCAGGTTTGTCTGATTCTCAAGTGTTTTAAATGAATATTTTGCTCTTGGCCCCAAACACGGGATCTGAACACCATGCTTTCTGCTCCACCAGTAAAACTGGTCCTGGGCTGGCAGTGACAGCAGAAAGTGCTTCAACAGGAGGAACCCGGGGACCCTCAAATGCTCACCCATAGGTGATGCATGCATCAGAAATGCAGGATCCAACTGTCATTGCCAAACACCACCCTCACTCCATCTCTGCCTGCCTGTGGGCCTGGGAAGGGCCCTTTGCAAGGAGCAGTGGGAGCTGTGGCTCCCCCTTGTTGCTGTGAGCTCCTACTTACAGAGAAGACAATGATCCATCCATCCAGTCATACAGAGAGCGTTTG